TAATACAAGAAAACCAAACAAATTATATACACTTAATAATCTACTTTTACACCCTAGCTCTTATAGACCTACTATCCTGATGCGGAGGATGCAGATCCAAAACCGCATTGAAGATTTTTTGATTGTGGCATTCGCCACTTCTACTTTTGAAGCGCGCACAAAAGCCTAGCTCGTACCAAGGTTAATGTCACGCTGTGAACCCAAAGTCCGTTTCTGGCGCACGCAACGGCTGTTTTGCCTCGTCGGCCAGGAGCGATCTGAATCCGATTGAGAATCGGCGTGAATACGTGGCATCCAACCACTCTTCACCTCGGAGCACGACACAGCATCGCTCCCCGTGACCGCAGTCACCCAAGGGACATACAGTCCGCAGGCTTCGTCAACTAATGACTCCAGCTCGCGAGCCTGGCTCGCATATGCACCGTCTACGCGAAGTTTTGTGCACACGCACGAGTTTTCCCCACCGGTCTCCAGCAACTGCCTTACTGGCTCCGACACCTGTTATATAGCGAGGCCCACCGTGGACCTCCTACGGTCACGCACCCCCTCGCTTGTTATACAGTGAAAAAGCTGCTATAAGCGAAGACACCCAAACCTTGTGGTCTCCCGTCTCCGCGTTTCTTCACCCTTTACGGAAAAACCCTACTTCCTGTGGCGAAGACTAATCCGCAACCAGCGTCCCCAAATAGATGCATGAGGGCCGCTGGCTAAGACGTTTACAATAGGATGGCAGTACAGCGGGGAGGAGGCATTATGGGTTGGGGAGTAAACTGGCATGGGAGGGACGCGGGCGAGGACCCGGAGCGGGAGAGGGGCCGAGCGTGCGGGGCGGAAACGGGCAGACGGGGGCGTTGCGCGAACGCGAAAATTCGCACGCGTGCCCTCGCGCGCCGGGGCGGGTGGAGCGCCGCGTCGGCGTGCGGCCGTGGCGCGACGGGGCGTGAGGCGAGGCGAGCGTGCGCCGGGCGTGCCGGGCGGCTGCGGCGTGGCGGCGGCGCCGTCTGCGTGGGTGAGTGACACGCGCGTGAACCAGAAGCGCTTCCGCGGGAGGTGCGTGGGCTGCTCGGCCGCTGCCGCATCAAGATTCGGTGCCACTCAAACGCTCACGCAGGGAATGGAGAGGTCGTTGAGAGATTTAACAGTGTACTGAGAATCTCTCTTTACGTCAAAGGCATATTATTTAAAGAATCAAACCAAAAAATATATTTTTACTGTCAATACAGTTCCATCATTAATAATTTCATACGTTATTATTACTGCAATGAGATTATGTAATTTATTACATTATTATAGCGGCCAAGTTCCCGAGGCCTCGTTGGCTTGGCAATACCTTCGGAATATTATCCTGTTGTTGGCACAAAATTAATAATTGAAGTTAAGATACCTAACACAGGAACATTGTATTTCCTAAAGAAATAATATTCATTATATATTTTTTCGTCTTTTCGCGCCAGATACAAAATAATGTAATGTTATATTGTTTTGTCCATGGAACACTTAAAACAAACTTTTATATGACAATTGGTTAACTACATGAATTTCTTCAAGACGAATAAATCTAAAAGAAGAATGAGATGAATTTCAAGTGAAACTTCCTGGCAGAACGTAATTAACCTACATATTGCGTTGCTGCGTTGAATGGTCTGCTTGAAATAAAAATTATAGAGGCTGTCCTACACGCAGAAAATTGAATCCAATGCTCTCTTAGCAAAATTAAGGGGTAATGTCGTCAGTCTATTCTGAATAACATCAACGTAAATGTTACTTCTGCTGCGAATGCATGTTCTCTACTACAAGACTTACACCAGTCTTTCGCCATCACTTCTAATTTACTGCTATATACTACACGTACGCTGAAGTATCAACTAGCAACTGCTCGCACGAACACGCAGTAATAATTCCAGTCATTAAAGTGCCTCAACATTAGCCGACAGTTCATGCTCCAATGACAGAACACACCCTAGTACTTTTCTTATGCGCGTCAACGCCTCTTGTTCGCGTTCATTAACCTGCGACATAAACATGCAGACACGTGTTCAGTATTTGACGCGTCCCTTCACTGCCCAGCTTGCTGCCGGGCGCAACTGCCAGAGTCGATGCCATACGGCTCGGCGACAGCTCTCGGGAGCATGCGTGGTAGTTGTCAGCGACAGCGAATGTTGGTCAACGTGAACTAAAATCATCACGTTGCGCAGCAAAGAACGAAAGCAAACGCTTGTTACGACTTGTGGCGAGGCGCAAGCGGTGAAAGAGCCAAGTCTAACGATGCACGGAAAGACACTGGTCTAAAAAGTGAGGTATTCATCAAATTTTATGCGCACCGACAAAAGCAGCATTTTCACATGAACTAGAGGAAAATACGAGCCTTGTAAACAGCTGAAATTTCTTGCTGACATTTTCATTTCAATAGATGAATCTTCTGAACGAGCGTTCGGAAACAAATTTACAAATTTTTTTCGTTACTTTGTATTACGATTGACCGCACTGCAATCCATAGGAAAATAAAAACTATACTCTTCGTTCTATTGCGGAATCTTCACCGAGTAAAAATTAAAATACCAAGGACTTTATTTCGCACAAATTCGTATAAAGCTCAAGAACCCTTATATTCTGCTATCGTGACCCTCAGGTGGCACAGATTAAGTGTGCTACGTACTCAGAAGCTTACGACTGTGCTAATCTCTAAACGAATTCTACACTTTTTATCACATATGTCAAAAACAACAAAATACAAAAAAAATACCACTGTTTTCAAACAAATTAACATAAAATATCAATTTAATAATACAACAAAAATAATTCCATGTTGCACCGCTCACGACCCTATCACTTGGCGTGGATGTTCCTGGGTCCCTGTAACATACATCTCGCCCTCCTTCCCCCTTCGGGAGCCGACCTTCCGCTGCTGCCGCCGCTGGCGGCGGGGAGGCTCGCGGTCATGCACGACGAGACGGCGAAACGTAACCGGTTTGCGCGCCTGCAGCCGCGGGTTTATGAACCGGACAAGGCCCCGACTTTACGAGCCGCGTGTTGAGGTTTTTCTCTTACACGGATTCGAGCGGTGTTCGAACGCGTGTTTGTTTTACGTTCCGCTGCGCATGCACGAAGCGGCATATCGAATTGCAGCGAAGCACTTCTCTGCCTAAGAGTTGTAGCTAGCACAATTCAGTCAGCGCTCGCGAGACGGAAGAAAAAAAAGGAGGAGGGGAAGCAGATATTGTTCGTACTTCTTCGCTTTTCTTTGCAACGCATACGCCATGCGTTGGTGCGCGGGGTCACCGTTACATGCTGCACTGACAGGGAAATAAAATATGGATATTCAAGGGGTCGCAGCTACAAGCACTGAAAACAAAAAAATCTGGAAAGGGTGACATGAGAAAGAGAATAAGGATGAGAGAGAGCGTATGAGCATGGGATGTAGTGAAAACGGTCCTTACAAAGGAATCAGGCTCATGAGCAAAGGTACTTATCAGTTCGTTGTAATCGGCGATTTCTGACGAAGTTCTCCTAGAGATTAAAAAAAAACCTGCACGGCAATAGAGTGCTCACGAACTTGTTGGGCCTGAAGGCGAGAAGTCAAGCATGTACCCTTCAGCGAAAGTGCATAGAGTGTCGATGGCACATTTAATGGGCCACGCCACCATTCTTGTAGATTGAAAAATTATGTTGGAAAGAATTAAACAATAAAAGTAATATACTTTATACAGGTGCACAACTAATGTGTAATTTTCCCGATAAAAAAGTATTGATATGCCACATAATCGCAAAAAGTCGACCGTCTCGAACCCAACATGACCATCCCTCTCGCCACCGCGATAGGTTGGCAGACCTTTCCAACTGGGGGGGGGGGAGAGTGCAGGAAGGAGATATTGTTCCTGAAAATTAAAATTTAGTACGGCCTGTAGCGCGCGGGGGAACGTGCTGGCATGCGAGAACGGGGGGAGGAGGAGGACGAAGAGGTGAGGAGGAGGAGGTGGAGGCGAAGTTAAGATAGAAGTTGAAAAGTGGCTCACGACCATCCACGTCACGTTCATAGCGCCTTCTTTACGACGCCATCAGCGCGTATCTCTCGTGGGGTTGCCGCGCATTAACGAGGTGCGCGCGCGATCCGCCCCGTAAAACGCGGCAGAGACGTGTGGGAATGGAGCCGCCGGGCGGGCGGCGGGCGGGCGGGCGGGCGCGAAGCCGCTGCCCGCTTTAACCTCCCTCCGTTCGCCACGCTTCCCAACACGCAAAAAACAAAAACAAAAAAAAAATCCAAAGAAGCCGACTTTTCTAACAGCAGCTAAATGCGCCCCTACGAAGATATAAATGAGACGTCTACAAAATATTTACTGAATGTTGATGAAAATAAATATTGACAATCTTTGTGTTAAATAAAATCATATATTTAATGTTCAAGAACGGGTTGTAAATTGGGCAGATGTGAAATAAAAAAAATTCATTTCGCAATTTTGCGAAACATTCTAGACAATTTTGTATATTCGTTTTCACCAAATGGTTTCGTATACATGCAAAACATCATATATCCAAAAATAGGTGTGTTTTTTTTCTTCTTTTTTCTTTGTTGCAACGTATTCTATATTTTTCGGTATTAGTTAAATGTACACAAATATTTACAAACGGCAAAAAGTATACTTCTCTAGACATTGATAAGTTATCTGAGATAAACCCTGTTACTTAAACACGACTCTCAGCTTACCGCGGGACGACTAAAGAAGTATGGGTTTTAAATGAGAGTACTTTTCCTCAGTGAGCTTGCGCGATCTAGCAATACACGATATGATTTTGTGCACTGTTCTGTTCTGAAACGCGAGAGAAACACAAAACTCTAATTTCAATAATTATATGGAACACTAAATGATTTAAACAGTACTATCGATGGCTTGAATCAGACCCCTAGCAGGTGCCCGAACATCCGTCTCCGCTCCAGCCGCCCTCGGACGCTGGCGGGGGTAGTTTGCGCACGCGATTCGCCAGGCGCCGCCCCTGGTGCTTACCTGCTTGTGCATCTCCACGTTGAGACCGTACGACATCTCGTAGTACTGCAACAGAGCAAAAGAAAAAAAAAGCGTGAGTGAACACAGCAAGGCGAAGGCCGGTCCGACGGCGACTTACACAAGCCACTAAACATGTCATACACACATGCGCGCGCGCTGGCGCGGGCGCCACCGTTTCTTGTGGGCGAAGCGCCCGGGGGAGGGGGAGTAGTTAGGGGCATAAAAAGAAAACTCCTCGCAGTTGCGGTTGCCGCCGCCGCTGCTACCTGCGGCAATTACCTACGCTCTGACGCATCAAGTAGTCTGCTACCGACCTTGCCACCACCTCCGCATTATCTGTTCCGAGGGAATCTCCCAGAAATGTGTACTATTTAAGCCCATTAAGCACAAACGGACCCGTGGGAGAGCGATAAATATAGGCACTCCGTTTTTCGTGAATAAGAATGTTTGAAAAACTAAGATTGATGCTAGCTAAAGGATGCAGCATCGGAAATTTTACATTGAAATTAATGTGTGTTCATTCTTAATTATAAAACTGGAAAGACGAAGAGAAGGAAATACAATTAAAAAATTTTACGATATTTAAAAATATAGAAAAGTATTTTTTTATAAACCAGTAACTCCATATTCCTCTCCATGATATTTTTGTTAGGTTGCTCTTTAACAACTGGGCCATATAGCGACCACTCTGATTCTTTTAACTGGATGGAGAACTGTTGGAAGAACACGTATGGACAACACTATCATACACACAAATTCCTCACCCTAGGCGGATTCGAACCCGTGACCCTCTTACTCTAAGAGCAATACTCTTCGGCAATGGGCTAATACCATTATGGGTATAATTAAGGCCAACCTATAATTGCGTTCAAAACTGCGTTGACAGGCAAGGACGATTTCCGATCATCATGATAGAAAAGATACACCAGCGCTCCAAACGAATCAAAAACTGGATGGCAATGACTAATGATATTGCTACGACCGTTAATGATAAAGCACAACGCAAAGTGGATGTATGGACACATATTGAAAGAAGAATTTCCAATTTTGTTCGTCAATGCCGGCGAATCTACGACCATTTTAAAACTATTATGATACAGCATGCGTTCATCTTCAAAACAATATGAAATCCATGCGCATTACGCCAAAGCTAAGTACATCCGTTTCAGCGTCAAGATAACACAGCATTCGTTTTTTATCTGAATCAATAACGACAAAAATTCATCGAAGCGAAACTATCGACATCCATTTTTCGTATCGAAAATGTAACATTGGTTCATATGGCATTACCGATATCTCTAAAAACATTGGCTCGCTATCTGATCGAACGCCAGCGCCCCGCCCCACCCTGATTAAAATTCGCGAACGTATTTCTCCCTAACGAATCGACTCTGCCACTGTAAATATCCCGGTAAAAACATGCACGCAAAAATAAAAGGTTACCACCTATAATCATTTTAATCTTCAAAAAAATATCACATGCTTCGTTAAATTAATTACGGGACCGGCCTGCCGGCCGCGGGGAGGGTTAATATCTACAATTACACTAATTGCGAGACGCGGAGCGGAGCGGCTAGTGGCGCGGAGCCTGAGAAGAGGAGAGAGGGGAGGGGGAGTGGAAGGGGGGCGTAGGAAATTAAAATGTCTGTAGGCGGAGTGATATCAAGATCCGGCCCGGGATTACGTGTGGCGATGCCGGGCGCTCCCCGCACTGCCCCGCGGCGCCGCGTAACAAAAAGAAGAGAGTGAAAAAAAAAAAGAGTAAAAAACATAAAAAACAGCTGCCGCGCGCGTGAGTCAGCGCCAGGCGGGCGGGCGGGCGATCGGCCCAGCCTCCAATTATCAAGTGAGGGGGCGTGGAAAGGCGAGAGGAGGCGCGGGCGATGGGCGAGTGGCGAGGGAGGACGAGGGGGCGGTGCGGCGTCTGCCGCTTACCAAAAGCGCG